GATGAGCAGCATGAAAATCCTCCACAGTTGGCAGCACGTTTAGAGTCTGTTGTCTTTAGCTGCAGGAAAAGTGAACTGCAAGCGGTTCTGTCGCTTGTCTCTTTGATTTGCGTGGAATATACATTTGCCCTCAGCAATGCCTTCAGTGAACCACATGTATTAATAACAATAAAAACAACTTGGAAATAATTATAATTTCCCACCAGGGTAAACAAATATTTGTTTAATTTTTAACTTTATTTGTTAAACAATTTATCAAGGCCACAATATAGACAATGTCATTTGAGATATTTATATCTTAAAATGAGTTTAGTTTTGAGAACATACAGAACCCTGCAAATCAGAGTTAAAGTTAAATACAAATAAGAAAGAATTAAACAGTTAAGAGAATATGAAATCTAAATGTCCAATAAACATATGAAAAATAAAAAAATGAAATATGAAAACCTCATGATTGATCAGTGAAAGGAAAATTAAAACCGTAGAAAGAGATCATTAAACATAGGATTGGCAGAAGGAAAAGGTGGGGGGCACTTAAAAGAATTCACAAAAAGCTATGGAAAATTGGATCTTATATATTCCTAGAGGAAAATGATTCAGTAAGAGGGTGATTTGCCTATATTTAATAAACCTCAGTATTACCATGTCCTATGACCTAGAAATTTTGCTTCTGATAATATATGCTAGGGAATCTATCACATATGTTCATAAGAAGATATTTAAAAGAATGTTACTTGCAATGTTTCCTTGGGATAGCAAAAAATTGGAAACCCCTTAACATCCAACTATGGTGATGAATGAATGGATTGTAGTATATTCATTTAACGAATTACTATGGAACTGTTAAAATAAAGAAGCTAGATCTAGAGAATCAATGCAGATATATATTAGACACATAGTATTTCATGGGAAAAAAAAACAAAGCAAGAGTGGATACCACTCATATAATTTAAAAAATCTAAATGTTATATTTTATGTAAACATACTTGCATAAACAGTAAAATACCTAGTCAGGAAAGACATATGCAAACTCAAGAAATGGTTTTCTGTGAAATTGATGAGTAGTAGTATTTAGGATTGTCAAAGGAACTTCAATGATATCTGTAATATTTTATTAAAGTTTTAGGTAAAAGAACAAAAAAGCCCAACAGTCAAATAGTCACTAAAAATTCAAAAACATAAAAAAGTCAAAAGTAAAAAACTCATACATTATAGTGACTAAAAATTTTTTAACCTATTTAAATGTATCATTTTTCCAAATGTCTTCTACTTTTAAAATTTAAAACATTTTATGAACATTTTTCAGTAGTATTATGTAGCCTTTGCAATAATAACTTTTAAATGCCTGCAGTCTATTCTACTGAATGCATATACCATGATTAACTTACTCATATATTTAGGTTGCTCTGGTTCAACAGGAAGATCTGTAATAGATATAGTTGTATCGGGAGAACCCGCTCTCGATGCTTAACTTGGGTTCTTTTCTATTTCCTAAGTGTCTCGGCTGGGTTGAGAAATAAAGAGAAAGAGCACGAGAGAGAGAAATTTAAAACTGGATGTCCGGGGGAGACATCACATGGCGGTAGGATCCGTGATGTTCCCTGAGCCATAAAACCAGCAAGTTTTTATTAGTGATTTTCAAAAGGGGAGGGAGTGCAGGAATAGGGTGTGGGTCACAGAGATCACATACTTCACAAGGTAATAAAATATCACAAAGCAAATGGAGGCAGGGCGAGATCACAGGACTACCGGATGAGGCAAAATTAAAATTGCTAATGAAGTTTCAGGCAGGCATTGTCGTTGATAATATCTTCTCAGGAAACAGGGTTTGAGAGCAGACAACCTGTCTGACCAAAATTTATTAGGCGGGAATTTTCCTCCTCCTAATAAACCTGGGAGTGCTACAGGAGACCGAGGCTTATTTCATCCCTTCGACTTCAACCAGAAAAGATGGCACGCTGCTTAAGGGGCCATTTATAGGCCTACCCTCAGGGCGCATTCTCTTTCTCATGGATGTTCCTTGCTGAGAAAAAGAATTTAGCGATCTTTCTCCTATTTGCTTATGAAAGAGGAGAAATATAGCTCTCTTCCGTCAGCTCCCGCCAGTTCAATTACCTCTTAGCGGCCTCCCTGTATCCAGCCTTGGAGGCAAGGGCGGATCAGGTAGAGACCATCCTGGAACGGTGACCGTCTCTTACCCCGGCTGGCAGGCCTGTAGTCCACTACTGAGCAGAATGGCCCCGGAGCTTCAGTAGATCGCCACTCCTCCAGCTGGCCAAAGTTCACCCTCTCTTGTTCCCTGAACATCGCTGTTATCCTGTTATTTTTTTGATACCCAGATTTCATATTGTTCAAACATACATGCTCTACAAGCAATTTGGGCAGTTGACACAATCACAGGGTCCTGAGGCGACATGCTTCCTCCTCAGTTTACGAAGAAGATGACGGGATTAAGAGATTAAAGTAAAGACAGGCATAGGAAAACACAAGGGTATTGATTGGGGAAGTGATAAGTGTCCGTGAAATCTTCACAATTTATGTTCAGAGATTACAGTAAAGACAGGCGTAAGAAATTATAAAAGTATTAATTTGGATAACTAATAAAAGTCCATGAAATCTTCACAATTTATGTTCTTCTGCCACGGCTTAAGCTGCTCCCTCCGTTTGGGGTCCCTGACTTCCCGCAACAAGTTGTATATAAAACTTTAAAATAGTAATAATAATAGTAATTATTTATTAAATGATTACGTGAATGAGTACTTCAATAAGTACTTTAAACACACTATTTTATTTAATCTTCACCAAGTCCCCTTGAGAGTTAATTATCTGAACTGTAAGATGAGACAATTTGTAACTTGGCTAGGAGCCTCAGTTTGTAAGGGCTAGAGACAGCATTCAAATCTGAGTCTACCTGTGTGTCCCTGAAGATTGTGTGGTCTCAGTACTGGGTCTACATTATCTCTCTACCATGTTTGTGGTATAATATTCAGGCATATTTCTTTTGAAGGTTCTATATGGGTGAGGTTGTTAGTTAATCAGCAAAAGCTCAGTTTCTCTTGTTTTAGGACATATACCTAGACTACATTCCCAGTCTCTCTTACAGGTAGGTTGTTGGAACCGAACTGTCGATTCCCTCCTGGGCAGGGGTCGCCGCGAAGGATCACCGACACGAGATTTACAGTAGAGAGTTGTTTATTACTAGCGCGTTAGGGTCCCAAGTTTTAAGTTGGCCCTGGGACCCCGAGTGCTTGTTACAGGTTGTTTATATAGGCAAACACAAGTTTAAACACAGTTTAGGGTGCGAAAGGTAGGTGTATGATGAGTTTTTATCAGTGGGCCAGGGGTAGTGATGGATATTGCTTCTGGGTTAAAGCTCAAAGTGAGTATATCTTTGACTCGAGCAAAAAGCAGATCAAACATATTAAGGGACAGGGACTTTATGTCTCCTTAGTCCAAAATTTATGGGGTTGCCTGCTAGGAATTTGACAAGTTTGAGTCCACGGATGTTTAGTTTACAAAACCCTTTCCTGGGATCTAGGGGTTGCAGAAGAAGCTATAAATAGCTGGGTTATTGAGAGTACAGGAGTCTAGCAAGCTGTTTTAGAACGGTCTGTGTTTAAAAGCAAAAAAAAAAAAAAAAAGGAATATCTAGAAAGGTTTGGATACTGCTTATTTCCAACTCAAACATGGCATTATTTTGATAGATTAAGAATTCATTAGTTCAGAAAATATCTCAACTGCATACAGTTTGTACAGCATACTTTTCTCATATTACTCTAAAAGCTCTGCACTTAAACTGATTGTGTATGTATAAGATGATAAAGTACACGATGAAACAAGGAGTCCTGCCAAAGATGAGAAAGTGGGGAAATTGCATAACCTAGGAAGACTGCCTTTAAAGGAGAAACCTCTTGTCATTTGACTTCTATCTTGGCACACTGTGTCTGGGGAATTCTCCGATATGAATTATTTTCACTTACTTCTGGTGATAGCAAATTTTTAAGGTCAAAAATTTACTGGGTTCAAATCTAGACAAGTCTGCTTAGTGATTAGTGGAGCTTCAGTAAGTTGTATAATCTCTCTCTGCCCCAGTTTTCTCATCAGTAAATGACAAAAATCACAATATATAACTCAATTGCTGTGTGATTAAGTGAGTTATATGCATAAAATACCATAGTAGGCTGAATTATAGCTCCTGAAGATATCTGGTCCTAATTCCTGAATCCTGAAACACTAAGTGTTACTTTTTATGTTAAAAAGAGTCTTTACTGATATGATAAAGTTATGGATCTTTAGATGGGGGGGTTATTCGGGTGGATCCTAAATGCAGTCACATGTATTCATATAAGAGGGAACAGAAGGAGGTTTGACCACAGGCAGATATAGACAAAGGTAGTGTGAAGATGGACTCAGATAAAAAGTGATGTGATCATAAATGAAGGAATTCCGGTAGCCACCAGAAGCCAGAAGAGGCAAGGAATGAATTATCTTTGAGAACCTCCAGAGAGAGCAGAGCTCTGCATCTTAATTTTGGCCCAGTGGTATTTATTTTGGACTTCTGGCCTCCAGAACTGAGAAAGAATAAATTTCTGTTGTTTTAAGTCACCCAGTTGGTGGTAATATGTTACAGCAGCCACAGGAAAAACTAATACAAATACTTAGACCCACACTGTAATATCCTAAGCATTATGAAAGTGTTTGCCATTACTGTTCCAAGACAATGGCCAAATTTCACACTTTGAGGTACCACAAACTAGAACAGCTTGAGGACCACTAACTGTGTATTTCCAAGAAACTTGTGTCTGATTACAGAACTTGGTTTTGGATAGGTTATTCTGACGAGGAAAGTAAAGATAATATTTCATTTGGCAGTTCACCTTCTACCAGTAGACTTCAATCAGATGAAATAGGGTAGAGAGGCCTGCATAGCCTTAGAGGAGACAGCAGCCAACCTCCAATGTCTTCTTTTGCTTAATTAAGATGTCTTATTTATATTCCAGGCAACGGAATCGCATGGAAGAGTGTGCAAGGCATTTATCAAAGCCTTGAAGACAGGGGCCCTAACCAGTAGCTGGAGGTAAAATTTGCTTCCCAAAGAATGATAAGAAATTCATGCAAGAGATCGTGGTCTACTATAGTGATGTAAGGGCTTCTGGAATCAGATAAACTGACTTCCTACTGAGTCCTTACACTGCAGTTTCAAGTTACATGGCCCCAAGTAGGCCATTACACCTCTCTGAGCCTCGTTCTTCTTTATAAACTGCTGGAGCCAGGGTGGAAGACGGGGAAGACAACTTTGCCACATTGGATTACTATATGTATCAAATTAAATAATGAATGTAAAGTGCTTATTTAGGGCCTGATTAGTGCTAAATATTCAATAAAGGGTATTCCAATAAGGTGAAGCCAAAGCACAAATTCATTCAGAAACCTAGAAAGTAGACAATTGACTTAGAAGGCTAACAAAAAGTACACAATTTGTGCATAAAATGTTCCATTAAGTTTTTTCTTTGTTGTAGCCCCAAAGATTATTTTCTTTACTCTCTAAAGTTTAAAAATCCAGTAGCACCAGTGTTTGGGGGTAGCATATTAGTGATGGAGGGGTTGTTCCTGTAATATAGTATGAGATCAAGATATTCCAATCAATTTTTTAATAAATCGGTAAAAAAAAAATCTGGCCTGTGATAGTAGATGTTGGCATCAAAGCAATATTAATTTTTCCAATCCTTTAGAAATCCTATTTTTGCCAAATTTAGTCTTCAGAAAGGAGGTTATGTGAAATCACTTAAACTCTTCATAGCTAGATTTTAAAATTTAATATGGGTACAGAATTGACAATATAAACTGGCCACAGAGGCCACGTAGAAAAGTCAGACATATATTACCTAAATAGAGAAAGCACTAGGCCTCTCTGTCTGCTTCAATCATAATGTTCATGTTTTGAAAGACCTGCCAAGATTGTGGGTAGAGTAATGGAGTGGAAACTGGGGCAAGTGTGATGTGCTGCCTTCACTGAGCAGAGCCAAAGAGGGAATGCCAAATAAGGCTAAACTTGTGTAGAATATAGTCCTCATTCTTTGTTTTCCACACAGAAGCCATTCCTTCTATCCTTAGTATCAAAATCCCTGCTCTTTTGTCTCAGGGTGGGCATGTGACCCACTTCTGGCCAATAACATGCTAGGAGAAGTTTATAGAGGGGCTTCTGGAAAATATGTTTCCTTTTTAATAATGACAAGTGAAGCAGAGAGTTTTCACCTTTGTGCTGCTCTTGCTTCCAGCCTCTGAATATAATTGTGTGATGCTTGGAACTGCAGTGGCTACCATTGGACTGTGAGAGGAACGATTTGTAGAATTTGAGAGATGGCAATCTTAGAGTATCGTATTGCTCAGCTGCTGACACAACTATGGTCATCACCCTCCCCTGGACTTCTAATTATATGCAAAATATAAACTCTTATTATTTTAGGCATTCTGTTTCTTTCAAGTAAAAGAATTTGTAAATATGATATATACAAATAAATTCAATTGTCAAAACAGTATTTAGGCTTAAGATCCCTGGAGCACACGAAGATGTAACTACAGTTGACCCTTGAAAAACACAAGTTTGGGCCAGGCGTGGTGGCTCACACCAGTAATCCCAGCATTTTGGGAGGCCAAGGCAGGTGGATCACCTGAGGTCAGGAGTTGGAGACCAGCATGACCAACATGGAGAAACCCCATCTCTACTAAAAAAAGTACAAAAATTAGCCGGGCATGGTGGCAGGTTTCTGTAATCCCAGCTACTCAGGAGGCTGAGGCAGGAGAATTGCTTGATCCTGGGAGGTGGAGGTTGCAGTGAGCCGAGATCACACCATTGCACTCCAGCCTGGGCAACAGAGCAAGACTGTCTCAAAAAAAAAAAAAAAAAAAGTTTGAACTGTGCCACTTATATGCTGATTTTTAAAGTAGATAGATTAGAAAATGTTTTGGAGATTTGGGACAATTTGAGAAAACTCATAACCTGTACAGAAATATTGCAAAAATTAAAAAGTTGAGTGTGTCATGAATATATAAAATATATGGATATACTAGTCTATTTATCATTTAATACCACAAAATATGTACAAGTCTATTATAAAAAGTTAAAATTTATCAAGACTTATGCACACACAGACTGAACATTGCACCATTCAAAGAGAAATGTAAACAAATGTGAAGATGAATTATTAAATCATAGATGCATAAAATTAACTATAGTGCATATTGTATTACTGTAATAATTTTTTAGCCACCTCCTGTTGCTACTGCTGTTAGCTCAAGTATTCTATCTGTTTAAAATGCCATGTGAGGCTTGGCCTGGTGGCTCACACCTGTAATCTCAGCACTTCAGGATACTGAGGTGGGGAAATCACTTGAGGTCAGGAGTTAATAACCAGCCTGACCAACATGATGAAACTCCATCTCCACTAAAAATACAAAAATTAGCCGGGTGTGATGGTGCATGTCTGTAATCCCAGCTACTGGGAAGGCTGAGGCAGGAGAATCATTTGAGCCCAGGAGGCAGAGGTTGAACCCAGGAGGCAGAGGTTGCAGTGAGCTGAGATCGCACCACTGCACTCTAGCCTGGGTGACAGAGTGAGACTCTTGTCTCAAAAAAAAAAAAAAAGTGCCATGTGAAGCCAATCACCTCTGTGTGAGCCATTTATGTCTTCAGCAAATTGCATATCACAGTAAAAAGTAATCTCTGGTGGATCTCCTGTATTTTTCATCCTGTTTAGTGCAATATCATAAACCTTGAATAATACCATGGGACCCGCACAAAGTACCACTAGTGATGCTGAAAGAGCTCCCAAGAAGCAGCGAAAAGCCATGACACTACAAGAAAAAGTCAAATTGCATGATATGTATTGTAGATTGAGGTTGCAGCTGTGGTTGCCCACCATTCCAGACAGATAATTCATCTTGGAAACAGACAATGTAAATTTAAGCTATCAATAAATATAGTACTATAAAAGAATTTTCTCTTTCATATGAATTTCTTGGTAACATTTTCTTTTCTCTAACTTTATTGTAAGAATACAGTATATAATACATATAATACAGTATATAATACATATTATAATTATATAATGCATATAATTTCCTGTTTATGTTATCTATCAGTAAGGCTTCTGGTCACCAGTAGGTAATTAGTAGTTAAAATTTGGAGAAGTCAAAAGTTAAACACAGGGTTTTGACTGGGCAGGGGCTTGATTCCCTTAACCCTTGCCTTGTTCAAGGGTCAACTGCATATTATAATCTTTGGGGATAAGGTGGAAAATGACTAGAAATTACTTAACCAGAGGATTTTAAAAGTATGAGGGAGAAAAACTCAATTTAGTTTAAATGTTCATTGATTTGCTCATGTATTATTGAGTTTCTATTATTCCCAGGAACTATACTGCTGGGCATACTCTGATAAGAGTTTGATAGAGTCTCTGCTTTCATTTAGTGTGTACACTTTATAAATAAGCTTTTAAAGAAGATGACTACTGAATGGTAAGTGCTAAGAGAAAAATAAACACAATAATATGATAAGTATATGGGGTTCAGGTGAGGGAAACTACTCTAGATAGACCTAAAGGATGAGAAGGAGCCAGCATGGGAAAATTCTGGGAAACAGTCTTACAAGAAGAGTAACTGCAAGACTTTGAAGCAGCAAAACTCTTACACAATCCATCGTGGTTGGAGCAGTAAGAGTTAAGAATACATAGATGAGAAAAGAGAAGAAAGGTAGATATTGTAAGGCCTGGCAGCCCAAGATACTTCATTTTAAATGTAGTAGGAAGCCAATAAGCTAACAAGAAGTTTTAAGCAGAGAAGTGAGGTGTTCTCACTTATGTTTCCAACAGTTCACTCTGCTGTGTACAGCATGGACTGGGGGGAAGAGTTAAAGCAGGAAAATCTTCAGCTAAGGTGGCCACAATGGATTACAGAAACTTCAATGACCTGAGAATAGTTTGGTAGAAGCAATGGACTTTACTGATAAAATGACTGTTGTGGTGTGTGAGGGCAGTAAGTTAAGAATAACTCACAGGTTTCTAGCTTGGTCACTGGGCCCAAAGTGCTGTCAATTTCTAACATGGAAGAAGACTTTGAAGAAAAAATGTTGATAGGATACAAATCAAGTGTTCCACTTTGACCATAGTATTTTTTAGAAGTACTGGAATATACAAGTGGAGAGGTCAAGTAGGCAGTTTGAGACACGAGTCTGAGGCTCAGGGAGAAGTCGGCACATGTAAATTATGGGCCTAGAACCTATCATTTAGGTGAAGTAACAGAGGAAGAAGAAAAAAGTAATCAGGACTTCAGCCTATGAATGTGGACATTTAAAAGGGAGATAATAGAAGAACCGCAAGGGGAAAAAAAAAAAAAAAAGGGTGATGGGGTAGGGTGCAGTGGCTCATGCCTGTAATCCCAACTACTTGGAAGGCCACGGCGGTTGGATCACTTGAGGCCAGGATTCTGAGACCAGCTTCGGCAATATAGCAAGACTATCTCTCCAGAAAAATTTTTTAAAAAATAATTAACTGGACATGCATGTTTGTGGCACATGTTTGTAGTCCCAGCTACTCAGGAGGCTTCTGAGGTGGGAGGAATGCTTGAGCCTCAGAGTTTGAGGCTGCAGTAAGAAAAAAAAGGAAGGAAGGAAGAAGGAAGGAAGGAAGGAAGGAAGGAAGGAAGGAAGGAAGGAAGGAAGGAAGGAAGGAAGGAAGAAGCCTAGAGGAGGAAAACAGCGAGGAGAAAAGTAAGGGGGAATATGATGTAATAACAGAATTTCATAAGGTAGAGAGTGATCAGAGATGTGTTGAATATGTTTGAAAAGTGTAGTAATTGAGTGCATAGACATGGTCCTTAGCCAGACACATGGATTATGTATTGGGTAATGTGGAGATTATTGGTGACCTTGACAAGAGCAGTTTTAGTGGACAGAGGAAGGGAGAGGCCATAGTGGGGTGAGTTAATAAGTAAATAGAAAGAAGTTGAGTAGACTTTTTCAAAATGTTTTTCTATGGAGAGAAGAAAAATGGGATGATATTTGTAGAAAAGGAGTTAAATTATCATCTCCTCACTTAAAAATAATATCATGCCCAATGAGAAAGATCCAGTAGACAGAGGTATATTGTTTATGTAGGAGAGGCATGGGGATAAGTGCAGAACAGAAGCTTCTGAGGGATGGTATCCAGAATCTAGGTGGGGCCTTTGGTGGGAGCAAGGAGACTTCCTTCAACTTATCTGGAGGAAAGAAGTCATTGCTAACTGCTGTGCTGACCTATAAGGCTCAAAGAATGACAAATCACAAAGCTGTCTTTGCCAAGGGTGACATGCCTACTTGCAGCACAGCAACGATGCCGGCAACAATGTGACCAAGAACTCCAAACAAGTCATTGATTAACTTAGGCAAGTTAAAACCAGGCAACATGTGATCAGTGTAGATATTGCTCAACTGTCTTAGGTTGTATGATTTCAAGATCTAAAGATAAATTTTTGAGACAATGGGAGTTGTGGGTTTGGGAAAGAGTTTATAATTTTTTTTCTTTCACTCCAGGAGTCCATTTATTTAAAAATGAACCAGACACAGCCCTGGACAGAAAGTTCCTGATGAGATACATGAAAATTCTGAAATACAAAATATAATGAATTGTAAACATCTTTCTATCCACGAAGATGGTCATAGTGAGGTGGATGTACCAAAATAGAACTGTGTCTCTAAAAGTATATTCTTTAAAGAGAAGACTGAGCTAGGAATACCAGACCAGGCTAAAACTATGGCTGCCTTGAATATAGTAAAATACATATAAACTGTACAAGAGATATGGATAATAGACATTTAAAAATATGCAGAGTTATATATAACAGAAAGAAAATTATCTAATTAACTACTTCATTTTTCTATTCAAAAATTATGGCCAGGCACGGTGGCTCACGCCTATAATCCCAGCACTTTGGGAGGCCAAGGCAGGCGGATCACAAGGTCAGGAGATCGAGACCATCCTGGCTAACATGGTGAAACCCTATCTCTAAAAATACAAAATATTAACCGGGTGTGGGGGTGGGCACCTGTAGTCCCAGCTACTGGGGAATGCTGAGGCAGGAGAATGGCGTGAACCTGGGAGGCAGGGCTTGCAGTGAGCCAAGATCGTGCCACTGCACTCCAGACTGGGCGACAGAGTGAGACTCTGTCTCAAAAAAAAAAAAAAAAAAAAAAAAAAAAAAAAAAAATTATTAACTTAGTAACTTAGTTGTATCTTTACTCACATTTTCTAGCCAGGTGTGGTGGCATGTGCCTATAGTTTCAGCTACTTGGGAAGCTGAGATGGGATGATCCCTTGAGCCCAGGAGTTTGAGACTGCAATGAGCTATGATAATGTCACTGCACTCTGGCCTTGGTGACAGAGCAAGACCTCATCTCTAAAAAAAGATATCTTTCTAAACCTATATCCTTCTTAATCTAAAGAACTGATTGATTCTTTTCTCACTAGCAATTTTCTCTTTGACTTAAAAAGCCAGGGTTTTCACCCTTCTATTCCTCTGGAACTGCTCTTGTCAAAGTCACTAACAGCCTTTATGTCACCATAATCTCTATACTCATTCAAATCATACTTGATCTCTCAGTAGCATTTGATATAGTTGGCCACTTTTTCTATTAAGTTGAAATATAGGAAATTTATGTTTTTGTAGGTTTCGAATTATTTGGGCAATTTTATTTGGCTCGATCTAATAGTAATATTTTTTTCTTAAATTTCATTACTCTGGTGTTCAGGTTTTTTTGCTACTTCAGTATCAAATGCATGAATCTCATTCCTACCCCATTTATTCAATTTTAACTCTCTGTCATAGGTTCCATTTTCTATTCTAGCTATGATCTCCCTCGAGGTGATCTTATCTATTCCCATGATTTAAATAACTTCTTTGTGCAGATGTCTCATATTTCAAATCTATTCTCCATGAATATGAGATTCATACTCATATATGCAGCCTACCTCACCATCATCTACTTTTGATGCCCAATAAGCATCTCAAACTTAATGTGGTCAAAAGAGAATTCTTTTTTTCCCTCTCCATGTGCTTCTATCCTAGTCTTCTTCATCTTAGTAATGGCACTATAGCATTGCCAGATACTCAAGCACAAAAGCTAGGAGTCTTTCTGGATTTCTGCCTTTTCCTGACTTCCCCACATCTAATCGGTAAAAAGTCCTCTTCTTGATAGCACTTTCATCCATTCATTTCCATTTATAATACTAATAGCCTAGAGCAGGATTCCTCAAACTTGACAAAATTGACATTTTGTGTCAAATCATTTTTGTTGTATGGAGCTGTCCTGTGTAATGTTGGGGGTTTAGCACCATCCCTGGTCTCTCCCTGTTAGATGCCAGTAGCACCCCTTTTCCCAATTGTGACAACCAAAAATGTCTCCAGACAATGCCAAATATGCTCTAGGTCAAAACTGTCCCAGGCTGAGAACCACTTCTCTACAGCAATCTACCATCCATTACCTCTTGCCTGGATTACTGTAATAGTTAACCATAGGTCTCCCTTCTACTTGTGGCCTCCTACATGCAATTTTCTAAACAGTACTAAGATGATTCTTTTAAAATCATGAATCAGTTTATGTAATTTCCCTGATTAAAACATTTCACTCAGAATAAAACCAAATTCTTTATGGGGCCTTCAAGGCTCTACATGATATAGCCTTTCCTCACATCTCTGATCTCATTTCTTAGAATTCAACATGTTCCAACCACATCATTCCTCAAACATACTAGGCTTGTTACTTTCTAACAGCCTCTGTACTTGTTTTTCCATGTGTCTGGAATGCTCCTCCTTACCATTCAGATCTCAGCTTAAATGTTTCCTCCTAAAGAAAGTAGATCATAGGCAACCTATATCACTCCAGCAGAGTGCCATATTTTCTTCCTAGCCTTATCACTAACTAGGAATATCTCATTTATTTGTTTACGTGTTTATTGTCCACCTACCTCCAGTAGACTGTAAACACTATAATAGCATGGTCATCATCTTTCTTGTTCACCACAGAATTATTAATGTATATAGTTACTGATTTAATAGATGAAAAAGTCAAGCAATTCACTTTAATATTAACATGAGTTTTAATAACATTATTGGTGATAGTCACAGCTGGATGTGCCAACAATCAACTGTAAGACCTTTGGTGGTCTTATAGTTTATTTGGTTATAATAAAATGATATAAAAACAATAAATTCTTATTAATAATTTTCTGTTAGGTCATCTTTACAAGAATATATATATATATATATATATGGTCTTTTCTGGTTCTAAAATATATCTGGTAGCTCTTCAAATCACTCGATTATAGCACATTCCATCTATGTATAAAACTCCATCTTGATTTTCTTCCTTTCCTTTGCAGAATATTTTCAGAGTTCCCCCACGGAGAAGACTGCAAAAGCTGTTTTGATACTTGACTTTTCTTGCCTGCTTTATCACAACATTTGAGAAACTACAAATGGAGTCAAAGAATCTTGTTTGGAGTCGGCTGAGTAAATCCAGTAATCCTCTAATAATAGTGAACTCAGGATTAATTTACAATAGAGAGAAATAACTCACCTAAAATATCACCTCTGACTGAATAATATCAATCAGGATTATTTTACAATATAGACAAATAGTTTGCCTAGAAATATCACCTTTGACTGAATATATCTTTGAATTTTCAATATAGTATCATGAAGATACATTTGGTGTAACAACTCTTCAACAAATATTTATAGTGTCAGGCAGTGTTCTAGGAGTTGTGACACAGATGAGAACAAAATAAACAAGTCTCTGCTTTCATAATGTATACAAACGGTAACAAGTATTAAGAAGGAGAAGAAAAAGGAGGCAGGAAATAGGCCTAAAGTGGGATTATAGTGACATTTTATATAAGGCAGTAAAGGTGGGCCTTTTTGATTTGAGATACATATTTGTGCACAGACAAATGAGGTAGCAGAAGCTGTGTGGCTATCTGGGAGAAGAGAGTTTCCAGGCAGAAAGAATGGGAAGTACAAAGGATGAGGAACATTAAAGGGAATACTGGGGCTTCAGTAGAGAGAGTCGTGGCAGAAATTAGGATCAGAGAGATAAGACATTGGATTGTACTTTTTAAGGTAAAAATTTACATGTAATAAAATGCATCTCTTAAAGTACACAAGTAAAACATAGAATATTTCCATCACCCTACAAAATTATCCTGTGACCCCTTCCAATTAATCTAACTGCCTGACAGGTGAGCACTGTTCTGATTTTTATCACCAGATATTCATTTTATCTGTTTTGAACTTCATATGAATGGAATCATACCATATGTACTTTTTTTTTTTTTTTTGAGATGGAGTCTCGCTCTGTCACCAGGCTGGAGCACAGTGGCGTGATCTTGGCTCACTGCAACCTCCACCTCCCAGGTTCAAGTCCTGCCTCAGTCTCCCGAGTAGCTTGGACTACTGGTACGCGCTACCACGCACAGCTAATTTTTGTATTTTTAGTAGAGACGGGGTTTCACCATGTTGGCAAGGATGGTCTTGATCTCTTGACCTCATGATCCGCCCGCCTCAGCCTCCCAAAGCGCTGGGATTACAGGCATGAGCCACCACACCTGGCCAATATGTACTCTTTTGTGTCTAGCTTCAGAATATTTATTTTCAGAGATTTTGTGATTAAAGAACAGGTGCGTATTCTACTATGTAAAATGTTGCCGTTATCAGTTTTTCCAAAATGGTGTGCCATTTTATGCACCTCTCCAATGTATAAAAGTTCTAGTTTCAATTGATCTTATTGTCTTTTAGTTTATCTGTTTTAATGAGTGTGAAATAGTATTTTTTTTTTTGCAGATTTAATTTGCATTTTTCTGACAGCTAGTGATATTAAACACTTTATCATGTGCCTGTTGGGCAATATTTATCTGCTTTTGTAGAGTGTTTGAGACTTTTCCTCTATTTTAATCGAGTTGTCTTGTTATTATTATTGATTAATAAGAGAACTTCATCTGTTCTGGTTGTTTTCATGGTAGTATAGTGTCTCTCTTATGGTGGTTTCTCTGGTGAGCATTGTCATGGCATAAGATCTTGCAATGGAGTGGTATCTGGAAAAAATATCATTTTGGCTCAGACGGGTTCAGACAACAGTTTTAAATGGGATCTCTCAAAGTGTGATGAGAACCAGAAAAAAAGTGACTATTTCTAGTTGCTTCGATACACTTGAGCAAGAAACGCCAAAGGATGGTCTTTTCATAACTTCAAAGCAGTGTGGTTCTCAAGTAGGGGGTATGTTTGCCCTATGGGTGATAATTGGCAATGTCTGGAAACATTTTTGAATGCCATGACTAGAGGGAGAAGCGGTCACTAGGCATCTAGTGGTAGTAGAAGACAGTGATGCTGCTTAATATCCTACAAATGCTAAGACATTCCATCCCCAAGAAAGACAAATGTCCATTCCAGAAGTCAACGGCGTCAGTTGGGAAACCCTGCCTTAAAGGTTATTTTCTTAGAAGAAGACAGCTTTAATACCTAAAATCTAATTTTATGTTTAGACCATGCCTATCTTCGCAGGACTCAATTCCAAGGAACTTCTGTGCATAATGCATGCTTTCTAATTCGTTTATTATAGCGCCTTACAGTGTGCAGAAGGCAGAGGATTGTTTTATTCGAAAGTGATCCCTTTTACAAGTAACTTAAAAACAGATATCCTCCGTTTGAATATAAAGTTCAGATTTTTGCTTTTAATATTAATAATATTTATATTACCAATTCAAGTCCTCCCGGAAATAGGTTGAGATGAATGGAGGCCAGATACCGAATTCATTCCTAGAGATACTGTGTTCTCTGGGACCGAAAAAAGACAAAACTTGAACCTTGACAGGCCCTCTAAGGAAGGATTAAATTCTGCTGATCTTCTTAGGGTATCTATCGGACTGTCCCTTTGGTTGTAAGATGCCTCTGCACAGAGCCAACAGGTAACTCGTCCTGGCGGCTCTGTGTACCCAACCACAACCCTAGACTGCCAAGAACACTGCTCATTCAAAGGCGAGCGAAGCCGGGAAGAGGGCCAGCGTTAGGGGAAGGGTGGCGCAAACCCTTGTGTGAGCTGTAGCACCGGGACAAGAACCACGGGGCAGCCCAAGCGAGTCTGGGGTCTGCAAGACCTCTAGGCGCTCTGCCGGCAGTCAGAACCGCAGCATAAGGGGCGCGAGCAGGGAGCTACTGGGACGCAGTGGCCGGGGAAGCTGGAGGGGGCGGACCCGGCCGGCGAGCGCAGGCGCTCCCCGGCTCACGCGCTCACCCCGGCCCCACCACCCGCCCTTCAGCCGCGGCCCGCCCTCCCGGGCGGGGAGGAGAATGCAAGAACCGCGGTCGTCAGGACCCGCCCCTTCGCCTCCGCGAGCCGGCGGGCGGGCTGGCGGCGCCGGGAGGCGGGGCCGCGGCGGCCGGCTGGGTGCGCCTCGGCGGCCTCGGAGCTCGCAGACGCTCAGGGGAACATGGCGGCTGCGGAGCCGGCGGTCCTTGCGCTCCCCAATAGTGGCGGCGTGGGCGCGGGGGCGCCGTCGGGCACGGTCCCGGTGCTCTTCTGTTTCTCTGTCTTCGCGCGACCCTTGTCGGTGCCGCACGGCGCGGGCTACGAGCTGCTCATCCAGAAGTTCCTCAGCCTGTACGGTGACCAGATCGACATGCACCGCAAATTCGTGGTGCAGCTCTTCGCCGAGGAGTGGGGCCAGTACGTGGACTTGCCCAAGGGCTTCGCGGTGAGCGAGCGCTGCAAGGTGCGCCTCGTGCCGCTGCAGATCCAGGTGGGTCCTGCGGGAGGCCGCGCGCCTCCCTGTTCCCGAGTCTTCCCCGTGCTGTCCCCGTCCCCGTCCACGCCTTCGCCGCGCTCCTCAGGTGCCCCGAGCCGCCCGGGCCCCGGGCCCTGCACGAGTGGCTGAGTCCGAAGGGCTGCGCGGCTTTCGCAAGTTCCGGGGCCGGCTGGGGAATGCCCCTGTCCAAAGGTGATGGTCACCAGCTATCCCCGGCGGGGACGTGGGCCTCGCAGCTGGTTTCAGCGCCCGCGAACGCCCCCACGTGTGTGGTCCTTGGTCGCCCGCAGTCGCTTTTTATGCCAGGAGCAGGTCCCAGTCAGTCTCCTGCGTAACCAAAGGGCTGTGCTGTAGTAGCTGTTTTTTTTGGGGGGGGGTGATGGGTGATGCAGAATGGGGGGAAATGAGATTGTGGGAAGCACTGGTCTTAGGGTTTGTTCCTAGAGTTAAGTTAACCACTTGCGGAAACGCAAACTTCGGGAGTCAAACCCTTCCCCCAGCCCTCCGCCTTCCCAGGCTCTTGGGTCCTTGGGCTTAAGAGCGCCCTAACCTTAAGCAAATAACCATTTGCTTAGCCTCCTCTTAGTAAAGTGTCTACTGACTTGATTATATTTTGTCGCCTTTTTTGAAAAAGTCATTTGACTCCAGGATTGTAATTCCTTCTTAAATACAAATACCCAACTTAAGCTAGACCTTGAGTTCCTGGGCCTGCTGGTTGGGATAGTTGTTCTACCTGAGGACTACTTACAAGCATTTATTTTAAGCTGTGCTCTCCTGCTAGGCGGGTTAATCTCCCGCCCTCTTTAGGATCAGAGCGTTCACTTGGCGAATTTGTATTTTGGAAAGGAAAGAATATAAGGTATAATTTAGGTAGTGCACTGTCAATGTCATTTCTTTAGCTGAGAAACTGATAAGTCATTTTTTTTCAGAAGACCAAACTGAAATGTGGGATTCGGGGATAAAAGAGATTTTAATATTTAAGGGCTTTCGCGGTGAGCGAAAATGACACTCATTTTCTTTCTTTTTTGTTTTTAGTTTTTATGGGCACATAATAGTTGTACATATATATAGGAGACATGATATTTTGTTTCAAGCATACAGTGTAGTGATCAAATCAGGGTAATTGGAATATCCATCACCTCAAACATTTATCATTTGTTTGTTTGTTCCAAATTTACTTTTGTAGTTATTTTGAAATATACAATAAATTATTGTTAACTATAGTCACCCTATTGTGTTTCTGAACACTAGACCTTATTCCTATTATCTAACTTTGTTTTTTGTACCCATTAACAGTGCCATTTTCTTATGATTATTCCCTAGTTTTTTTCAGCTGTAGTTGGCAGCTGAATTGATGATGTTTCCTGTCACCCCAACACCTGTGCCAGAAGTGTCCAAAGCAGGTACTTTAGCTTGGATAAAGTTTCTGCATTCAGAGGACAAAGTCTGAGAGACTGCACTGTCTACCACTGGAGAACCTGGAACCGGGTACAGTGATCTGATACCCCAGAATCTGACCTGCTGCCCAGACAGGGAATTGCAGTTCTTAGGTGCTTAAGACTCCCCATTTTTATATCTTCCAGCGTTTTCGTGTCTGGCATCTCTCTGCAGCCTTCTTTGTCAGTCCTTTTACGTTACTGCTGCCAGAATACTCAGATGTTGGATGCACCTTCGAGAAGTCCATTTATAAAGGCTAGAATCCAAATACTAACTGCGGAGGTCTGGGATTATACTTAGGATGCAGACTTCTTTATGAAGCATCTCCTGTTATGGCTGGGAGGGAGGCTGGGCTCTTATCTAAGATAATGCTATTCTAAACTAGCCCCCAGCTCTGTGAGAGTTCCCCCCCATCCAAGGTAGGATTTTTATATTTGAAAATTTCAGGACCTTGGTCTGGCAACTCTTAAAAACATTCTCGAAATTAATGAAATGTATGTACCTGAAAATGCTTGTACATTCTCAAAAGGCGTTGTGTAATTCTGGTCACCTGTGGCTTTTGAAATGTTTTGCTTGGTATAGATTATGTATAGTTCATTTTTTTGTGAGGTTTAAAATAACAGTAGCATTACTCTATTCCATCTTCAAAAGATATTTTTTCCACCAACTGGTCTAATAATTCTTAAGCATTAGTTATATTTTTGCACTTACATAGCTTTATATTTTTAAATCTTTTTTTTTTTTTTGAGACGGAGTCTCGCTCTGTCACCCAGGCTGGAGTGCAGTGGCCGGATCTCAGCTCACTGCAAGCTCCGCCTCCTGGGTTCACGCCATTCTCCTGCCTCAGCCTCCCGAGTAGCTGGGACTACAGGCGCCTGCCACCTCGCCCGGCTAAGTTTTTGTATTTTTAGTAGAGACGGGGTTTCACTGTGTTAGCCAGGATGGTCTCGATCTCCTGACCTCGTGATCCGCCCGTCTCGGCCTCCCAAAGTGCTGGGATTACAGGCTTGAGCCACCGTGCCCGGCCTTTAATTCTTTAAAATATTTTCTCTTCTATATTATCTCATTTTAGTAGTTATATTTTGAATTCTTCAGATGCCTTTCCTAGCTTAGAGGTAGATAAAGGAAAGGGACATATACATAGATATGCGCACAGTATATACCGTATATACCTCTGATACCTATTTATGTCTATATGAGAAGAGAGAGATACATATACACACATACATGCATATGCATATGTGTGTATAATCTCAGAAAGTCATGATAATTCTCATGACTACTGTAGTATATTCTTTGTAACCTAACAGTATAATCCTAGAGACTTGGATGTTTTATGGCTATAAGAGACCATACAGTTCATTCCACAAACATGTGAGTGGCAGCTTTAAGTGCCTGGCATAGTGAATGCAAACTTGGATTCAATTCTTGTTCCTTACCTAATAAATGAAACTTTCACTTTGAAGAAGTGCAGAAGAACATAGGGAAGTGGAGGTGAGTAACTTGCTGCAGTTTACGTGGCAAGTCTCCGAATATGCCTGGCTAGGTTCTCCGCAAATGCGTGTGGAGGAGCTAGCCAGGCATATGCGGAGAGTCACTTACAGCCAAACACAGCACTACTGCTTGCATGTTTAATGAGAATTGAGCAGTCTGGAAAACAAGCCACAAACTTGAGCTCTTGTTTGTTCATTTGTCTTGATGCTGCTCCTTGTTCTTTGGAATAAATGGCTTGTCACTTAGGAAGACTCAAGGTGGCCCATCAGTGAGTCCATGTTACTGGGGATGTTAGGCCCCTTCTTGAAGGCAGGGACAAAGAGCACAGGTTTGGCCACATGTAGTTCATTGCGTAAATAGCGATTTATTATTTCTCCACACTTGGGCCCTGGAGCCTCTGTGGCCCTGGTTCACGTACTGTTAGCCTAGAATGTATTCTTCATTTGCGCCGTGGTGTGAGTTGCCTTCATGCTTGTTCTGACAGCTGTGGCTGATGACCTTGTGAAACACAGTGGCTGCCTTTGCCACACACTGCACCCGTGCTTGTTAGTGGTTCTGAGAACTGATCCTTAAAACCCCCATTGCCAGTATTAGGCTGTGGTAAGTTTTTGGTGACTTCTTTTCTCAAATATTCTGTCAAAGTAACAATGTCTGCTGACAGCTCAGGTAGATGAAGGCATAGCTCATGTTTCATGCTTAGTTTGTATGTCTGCAGCTAAATGCTTGAAATCTGATGAATTTTGAGACACAGGAAAGAATGTAAATGAGAGGATTATATAGTGGGGATTTAGGTCATTTTTATGACTTGAAAGTTTTAATTTTTCAAAAGGTATTTTCTAAGTTTTAACTAAAGGAAACATTTAACTATGGGAAGTTACGTAAATGTGGTATCATGCCACCACCAGTGAATTTTCCAGCCTGTGGCCAGCAAAGACACAGCCTTGGGAGAAGGGAGGAGGAAATGGACAGTGTAAGAAGGATGCCAGTGAGGGGATTTTACTTCTGTACATAGCATGGAAGGCTTTGGCAGCTTTCTGTGGCCAGAAGATAAGGGCTTCCCAGGGAAGGTTATTTTGACCTTTTCCCAAAATGATTAACTGGCAGGGCATTTTGCTCCAGCTTTCATTTTCTTGGAAGTTTATTGCTATTATTATTATTTTAAACAGGGGCATGAACATTTTATAGCTAGAAGAGACTGACAGGTTCATGGTGGGAAGGGAGGGAAGGCAGGAGGAAAGGAACCTTGTCTGCCTTTGGCTTGATAGTTTGAAGGTAGTGGTTTTTGATTACAGGACCTTTGCCTCAGGAGCATGGCAGGAAGAGTGGGTAGATGAGATAATGCTCAGTGAAGAGACAGCTGGATCCTGAGGTTGTTGTATTGTCTCCACCCCACTGGTTTGATGTGTGTCACTTAAAAAAATTAACATTCCAGAATAATACCTAAAGCATTGTATCCTTTTTTGTTCCTTGTGAATACATTAGAGCTACCTATAAATAAACTGTGAGAGTAGGAGCTATAATCTGAATTTTGAATTTTTTTTCTTGCATTTAGTTAACCAAGGGAATCCTAATGTAGATTCAAATGTCCTTGTGGTCCTGGGCTTGTCTAGCTTCACCTTCACCCCAGTCTGAGGCACAGTCTTAAGAAGTCCTTCAGTCCTTACCCCTGGGGTGGGTGGAGACAGCTGGCCTCTTTTGGGGATTTAGAAAACTCATACCTTATCTGATAAGCTAGGGTTGTAACCTTATGCCTGTGACATCAGTGTTTACAATAGGTGAATATGTTGTAAAAATAAGAGCCAATAAGTATTATTTCACAGCCTAAACTAAAACGACCCAGATCTGTTTTTCCAGGAACAATCTTGTTTCAGTGATTTGGTAAGGTTTTGGTAACATCTGGAAATCTACTTTATGAATTACTTTATGATTCACTTTCCTTATTCTGCTTATTATGTTAACATAACAAGTTACGCAATGTTAGCATTCCTATATATATTTATAGGTTTCTAAAGGGATCTTAATTGTATTTATCCTCATTAGAGGGTAAGTTTTAACATATGCTG